CTACTATACATCTAAAAAATACTAAATGGTACGCAAAAGTCCTGTCGGGTGCGAGTTGAATCCGGATTCCACTCTTATTAGGGGCGCATGCTATCACTGATACCGTAGATGCCATCGCTCTGACATCATTCCTTCTTTTTAGTGCTTTTCAACAGTGGTACGATACTTACCCGACCAAACCCATTGATAGTTGGTTGCTGACACCTCAAACAGCTGTTATTGAAAGAAAGAGTGATAGAAAGCCGTGGCCTCGGTGATGCAGTGGTAGGACGCGCCTTCGCTAAGGGGGAAACACAGATTCAACTCCCGCTCGGGATCGAATTTCTGCGTACCACTCAGTATTCTTAATCCATATTTACACTACCATACCGCTGCTAGAAAACATTAAAATAAATTCTTGTTAGAGAAAGTGACCTTTTCCATTCGTCTAAACCTTTTTGGATGTCCAATTCAAGCGCTTCCAGTTGTGCTTCTTGCTCGGCTGCTATGCTTATTTTATCCGTCTGTAGAACTACCTAAAGAGTTTGATTTTCCTCAGAATTCAGAATAATTGGCATAAAACAAAGCTGTTGAGCCACAAACCTGCATCCGTTCTTCGAACTCCTTCAGCATTTCCGCCCTTTGTCGTATAAGATTCTCGCAGAATTCTATTGTCGATAGCCGTTCAGATAATGATCGTGTTTCTGGCTTAAATGGAAAGATCCTTAAGAGAAAACAGTCTTCTTGCTATTAGTTGGTCTAAATAGAGAGAAAACAGGAACTAACCTTATTGTTAAGGCTTCTCAAGCTCTTCAATTTGGCTAGAGGAATTTTCATTACACGATCCAAACCCACGATTTTCATCTTCTCCATTAAACCGTCCACATCAAAGTCCGCACTTTTCACCTAAAGTACTCAGTTAAGTGTTGTAGAACTGTGACCAAACCTATAGAGATACAAAATAAAATATAAACATGCAGATAAATAATGATAAAAGTATGAGTTATTAACAGTAAGCATAAACGACAATGTGAAAGAATGTATATCCGCTACTGTTGAGTGATGCGCAAGAATTCAAACGTCGGGCGGCATTCAACCCGCATTTCACCCTTTCCTGAAGATGCGTGCTAACAACAGCACTACCAGCGCTCCTTCTACCATCACTCTTGTGTCAGAAAATGATGGCAGAACGAGCGCCGGTGGTGCAACTGGTTGAGCACGAGCTTTCAGAAAGAGTAAAATTCGGGTTCACATTCCATCTGACGTCAAGTTTTGCACATTACTCACATGAGTGGATTCATGCATTTGTAACACTATACCACTGCTAAAGTGGTTAAACAAGAAAAAATATCATTTAGAGTACAGAATTCAAACAGACGTATTTGTCATTTCAAGTGAAAGCTCTGTTGACTGTGAAAATATCTCTCGTCTTTTTTAGTACAAGAACACCGTCTTTCTCTGTATGTCATTGATCGACATCCCCGTAACAATTTAAAAGAATGGCTTTTCACCAACCTTGGCATGTGTAATGAAAAATATAAACTTCCGTATCCGACTATCGATTAACCTCGTCATTCATTGAATAACTCCTTAATTTTCCTATGCAGCATGTATAAGAATGTTAAATTAACCTTGACCTTGAAATTTACATCCTCGTCCTTGCCGGATAAGAAAATAACGGAATTATTCAATCTTACAAACTGTCTTTTTCTTGGTAAAACTTGACAAGATTGGTAAATTTCTCTTCAAAATCGATGGCAAACGTTTTCGGCGATTTCGCCTTTGTCAAAGCTTCGACGTACTATACCATCACTTTATTTGACCAACATCGTAGCTTTTTTCTAGTGCGCGAATACCACTACTCTCAGTATTCGCCTGGTCTCCTTGCTTGCCTGCCGATTCCATTTTCTTCACGAACGCCGTAGAAAACTGGTCGAATATGTCTCCTTGTGATCTCGAAGAAAGCCAGGTTTGGGTGTTCAGTAGAGCATTCGTCATCATTGCCACACAGTTCTTGGAGGCACTGGGATGGAAACGGAGCCGCGGCGAGTATCATTAGCCAACTTGGCCGGCTACAACCCCCTAGGCCCCAGGAAAATGTTAGAGAATCGGCGCGCAAGATTAGCGGAACTTCGAGCGATGATACTGCTGCAGAAAGAACAGCTAGAGAAGTGATTTGCGAAGTTCAGTACGCTGATTACTAGTTGCGTCCCCTATTCGGATAAAGTACCTCAAAAATCACATATTTTTATATATATACAATATATTATATATATATGTATACGCACATACGTATATGTGTGTACACCTTTATGTATGTGGTGCTATATATGACATAAGTGGATGTATATGTAAATGTAACATAACGTATACATGTGTATGTCGACATATGCCATAGTATACATATATATGCATATATATATGATATATACGATGCACGTTATATTTATGTATATATATTACATATATACATAGGTATACACACGTTTATATTATCTAATACTCTAATCTATATATATATATATATTATATATATACCTCTGCTATCGACAGCTTTTTTTACAGACCCGCTCAAAATGATTTAATCTGATAAGGATATTACATGTTTTGAGCCGATAGGTCTAGTGCTATATAGGCGCCTATTTCGTCCTATTGGGACTCATCAGTAGCACCCTCCCTCGGTTCCGTCGATATTTATCAGATATCCTTATCAGATTAATCATTTTGAGCGGGTCTGTATGAGCGGTCGATAGCAAGTATGGTTCTTTTAGAAGCCGCAAGCTCGACTGCCGTCCCCAAGTGGGTAACCACATCCTACTTTGGGTGCTTAGTTTTTACTCGGCGTCGATTCATTTAGAGGATTATTTCACCTCAAGGATCGACGGAACCGAGGGAGGGTGCTACTGATGAGTCCCAATAGGACGAAACAGGCGCCTATATAGCACTAGACCTATCGGCTCAAAACATGTAATTATCCTTATATATATATATATATATATATATACATATATATCAAGTGTACAAAAACGTAGAATTATATACATGAGATATAAAATATAAACTCTTATTAGAAAATATAAAAATCAAAAAACCCACAGCTAAAACACTCACACGAGGTAAGCGGTGTGGTGTGACACCGTAAAAAAAAGAATCTCATAGCTCACCGGCGACCTTTCTTATATACACAGCTTACGGCGGGCTTCCACATGATAAGCAGATTTTCAAATTGATTCGCATCAGATTTCTACTACATAAGGGAGCCATGGCCAAGCAGTTGTGATGCTGGGTCGCGGGGCGCGTGGAGCCGAGCTCGACTCCCCAATTCTCTTCGGCAGTCAACAATAACGCCCTCTGGAACGTCACAGCCAGGCTTTCATCGAGATTGCAAGGAGACGCGCTTAGACCAGCTTTTTACGACGCTCAAGAGAAGACGAAAAAACGATTGAATGCTAGAAGTACTGAGATCAGCACAGTGAAAATAAGATACTGTCAAGATGGAGATTAAAGAACTGATAATATAAAGTTCTACTACATAACGAAATATTCTGACACTTTATTGATGCGTCTTCACAGTGCTGCTTTTTCTTAACTGCACGGATCCAAGTACTTCTAGCACTCAATTCCGTTTTTCGCCCGCTTGAACGGCCTAGAATACCAGTTAGCGAGTCTCCTTGCAATCTCGAGGATGGCCATGCTGTGGCGTTCCATAGGCCGTCTGTTGTTTGACTGCCGGAGAATGTAAGGGGGCTGGGACACGGCCCTGAGGAGAACGAAAATCGAGTCAGTGCTTGGGCTGAGAGTGGCTGTAAACTCACTGCATATTCCAGTTCAAGAATTCTTATGTTTTAGTGCTTCTTCACAGTTTTAGTGATGTTTCATATATAACTGAGAGAAATGAAAGGTAAGCAAAAACTAGGCTTCAGACTGGAGTTGAACCTGTATTTCATCCAACCGGGGATGCGTGCTACCACTACACCACCGAGGCCACCGCTTAAACACCACTCATTCTTCAATATCTCTTTATCCCAAAATTTTGCTTATCATTTAATTCTCTTAGTTATAATCGGAACATCATAAAACTACGAAAAAGCCGTGGAAACATAAGAAATCTTGTTTGACCCTTTCGGGACCGCCAGTTGTAATCGCCTCGCGCAGTGCAAATCGCAGAACGACGCGCGATTTTTGTCATTTGATTGAGGTCTTTTTACTGTTTTGGATATAAATTCAGGGCTCTTCGCCATATTTCGATACTTCACGATTTCCTCTACACATTCGTACGCTTTTTGTGCAAATAAATCGCTTATATTTGGAGAAAAAGCACATTATTACCACGCAAGTCACAGTGACATTTGCATTCTGTCAATTGCAGTAATTTCTATGGAGATTATAATGATTCGCATCGATCAATTTTGATATATTCCATTATATACAATGCTCAAAAGTTATAGAAGTGATTGAACCCGAAAAATAACGAGTAGTTTGTCAAAAAAAGATGTTGTAGAGTGCATGAGATGCGAAGCGAAACGCAATTTTTGCTCACCGTTTTTACAGCGCATTAAAAACTAACATTTGCTATTCAGTTTGAATACTAAGTCTATATTTAGAATCGCCATTTCTCAGGCTATCGAATAATCACTAAAACTGTGGTGAAAACCTTTTCCCATGAGAAAAGACCAAGCAAATACGAGTGCAAATCACATTGTGCACCCCACAAAAACGAAGAACACCTAATATACTCTTTGTTGCTGCAACTCACTGGAAAAGCGTTTCCAAAAATCAAGCACACCATCAGAACCGCTATTTCTTCAGCTATCGAATGACTACTTAAGGGCAAGTAAAAAGTCTACGATCGACAAGAAACCACGAGAATGCGCGTTCACGATGAGTGGTACACGTGGTCCTGAGAGGGTTAAAAGGGTTTATAGAGCGATATTTTTGTGTAGCCGACCAAACCCGTTAATGGTTGGTGGATGAGAGCTATGATACAGAGATTTTGAAGAATGAGTGGTAAGTAAGCGGGGAATTCGGTGGTGTAGTGGGTAGCAAGCGTTCCCGGAATGGACGAAGCGCGAGTTCAACCCTCGCCTGAGGTCGGATTTTTGCTCATCACCCAATTCTCCTGGTGGTAATCCAGTTCATTTCCATTTAGCCAAAAGAAGAGGAGAGAAAAAAACGAAAAGAAGAAAAGGAAGGGAAAAAAG